GAGAGGTAAATGCTACAATTCTAGCTTTGATTCCTAAAATTCAAAATCCAGATGAGATGAAGTTCTTCATGCCCATTTCTTGTTGCAATTTAGTTTATAAATGCATCTCTAAGATTGTGGGAAATAGGTTTAGTCCTCTTCTCCCTTTTGTTATCAGTAAGAATCAGACATCGTTTGTGAAGGGGAGGGTCAAAACATCCTATTAGCTCGCGAGTTAGTGCATAAGTATTCTAGGAAGAATATTTCTACTAGATCAGCTCTTAAAATTGACCTCATGAAAGCATTCGACTCAGTTAGCTGGCAGTTTCTTTTTGTGGTGTTGGAAGTTATGGGTGTGCCTAAACAGTTTATTAGCTGGATCAGGATGTGTATCTAGTCCAATGCTTAGTATTGCTTTTAATGGGGGTCTGGTGGGTTACTTTCCTGCCAAGCAAGGTCTGAGGCAGGGAGACCCCCTTTCCCCATACTTATTTGCTGTAGCTATGGAAGTTTTTTCGTGTCTCTTGGACTTGGAAGCTGAAAGGGGCAGGTTTCCCTACCATCCTATGTGTAAGAGAATAGGTCTGACTCATTTATGCTTTGCTGACGATTTGCTGGTATTTTCTGATGGGTCCAGTTATGGGATTCAAAGTGTTCAAAGGGTCCTGAGTGAGTTTCACAAGCTATCAGGGCTTCAATCTAACCCAAGCAAGTGTGAAATATTTTTTGGAGGGTTGGAGAAGGGGGAGATGTTAGTAAGAGCTAATAGGTATGGTATCAGCTTGGGGGGTTCCCAGTTCGCTATCTTGGGGTTCCTCTTGTGGCTGGCAAGTTGACAGTAAATGCCTGCAAACCTTTAATTGATAAAATCACAAAAAGGGTGCATGGCTGGAAGGCTAAATCCCTGAGCTATGCAGGTAGAGTGGAGCTAGTCGGGTCAGTTCTTTACAGCATGTCACAATACTGGATGAGTGTTTTTATGCTCCCCAAGGCTGTTATTCAGGAGTTTGAGAGAATTTGCAGTAATTTCCTCTGGTCAGTTGGCCCTGGTCTCAAACTTAAAGCTAAGATGGCATGGAAGTACTTGGCCATCCCAAAAAAAGAAGGAGGACAGGGTCTGAGGGATCTTGTTTCCTGCAATTATGCTTGTGTCTACAGGCAGATATGGTCGGTTATGATGCAGCAAGGATCACTGTGGGTTTCTTGGATCCAGGCCTACAAGTTGAAATGTCAATATTAGTGGATCATGGAACTGGGGGAAGTTGCGGAAAATTAGAAACAAGCTCCCTAACCTATTTGGTTGGAAGGATGGAGTGCTGCACTGGGATGATAAACCAATGAAGAGATACTCCATCAAGCTGATATGGGAATCTGTTAGAACAAGACACAGTAGAGTAAGCTGGTATAAGCTTATTTGGAAGGGACTCTCCATCCCTAGGAATAGATTCCTTGCTTGGCTTATTATACACAACAAAATCCAAACAAAAGACAAGATGAAAAAAATGGGGATTTGTAGGTTCTGATCACGGCTTCCTCTGTGATCAGGCAGGAGAGACAAGGGACCATCTGTTCTATGTCTGTCCCTACTACTCTGCTGTTCATCAGCAGTTGCTGGGGAGATTTTGCTCTTTCTTTCCTCAGAACTGGGAGGAGAATCTCAGCTAGACTACAAGGAAGCTTGGTACAAAGTCAGTGGTTGCAATGCATGGTAGACTGATTTGGTAGTCAATGGTGAGCCATGTGTGGAGAGAGCGATGCAAGAGGGATTTTGGTGATCAGAAGCGGTCTCCTGAGGCTTTGGTTCAGATGATTAAGAGCGAAGTTTGTGTGCTGGTGCAGGATCCGAAAGAGTTGGAGAGTTTCTGGACTTCTGGTTCCTAGCTACTTCAGGTCTCTTACCTTCCCCCCCCCCCCCCCCGAGTTAGGTGCTCCCCTAGGTAGTAGGTTGGTTTTGTTTGGTTTGATAGCTCTATAGGTGAAGTGTTTTTGTTTTTTCATTATCATTCTGCTCCCATTTTCCCCTAGCTGGCAAGGGTGTTGCCAGCACGGCTTTTTGATGGAATGAAAGTATATCGATTCATAAAAAAAAAACACCCAATATTTAGGAATTGTCCAAATTCATATTAGTCTATGAAAAATCAGGTTTGGATGATTTTATTTTTGGGCAGACCTATATCCAAACTTTTAGTTTAGATCTAAATTGGACTCATAGTGTTTGATACACGAAAGAAAATGGGTACCCGATTCTAATGCAGATTTTTCTTATCTTTTTGTTATGAAACAAACAGAAAGGTGGAAACACTAATATTAAAGGAGTAATTGTGTTGAAAGTAGTTAATGAGATGATTGACAATTTTTCGCGTGTACAATCATGTGAACCAAAACAGACTCATTTGGTCGAAACCAAATAGACTCATTTGGTTGGACTCAAATGAGTTGACCCAATTTAAACATAACTCAAACCCAAAATAATTAAAGTACATATGGGTCTATTTAGGTCCAACCCAATATTCAAATGACATGTTAATTGGTTCAAATTACCCAACGACTCGATTCATCGTCATTACTACTTGTTTTACAGGCCCCTCTCTGTCACCTTCAAACTGAACCTGAGCAAGGCCCATATCCAGACACCACAGAATAGCCTCACGAAGAAGTAGTGCCTCGACCAGAGCAAGGCCCATATCCAGGCACCGTCAGATGCTCCAAAAGAGAGCGACTACCGTCATACTTTGTTGGGGTTGGTCTACTCTCCCCATCAACCATTTGAGGAACAACTTGAAGGTTTTTCGTGGAATGCCTTGGCCTAAATATCTTAGTCTAGTGTGGTCCCATAGGGCATGTGCAACTGGGAAATCCAGAAAAAGGTACTCAACACCGGACACTTAAGTAACACTTGGGCCTCCTTCTCAATTAGAACTTCCGTAGTCGGAAGGATTCGCTGGTAAATTTTCCATAGAAAGTTTTTAAACTTGGACTGGATCGGGAGCTCCCACTATCGTATCCAACTTGCTCCATCCACCCAACTGACTGTCTGGCGCCAGACCCCTCGTTGTCGATCTCTCACCACTGCTAAGTGATAAGCATATTTAACCGTGAAAACCTCATCAAGAATCTCGTGCCAAATCAGAGAATCATCGATATGAAGAACACAAAGGATAGCATTTTAAAAGGAAATGAAAACAGAACTTTGATCGAAAATGCACTCAAGCTAGCTTTTTGATTTTTGTATTTCGTTAAATTATGTGTCGAGAGGATTTGTCCCGACTAGGGATGGCAAAAATATCCGTAACCGTGGATATCTGTCCGAATCCGATCTAATCGGGTAGGGTAAAATCCGAACCCGAAGGACTTTTAGTGGGTACGGGTAAAAACCGAACCTGAATATTGTGGGTAATGGGTGGACATGGTTTTCTTACTATCCAACCCGAACCTGCCCGATTATACACATGCATAGTATTTTGTCTAGAAATTATATTTTTCTCTAACATATTTTATATTTAGCATATAAATATAATATTTCTATGAAATTGTGTTGTTTTAATTAATTTTCTTCATTCTAGTGAATTATTGTCGTACTTTTCGTCTTACGTAACTTGAGAATACGTGTGAATATTAATATATTGGTTGGAGTTATAAAGAGAAACTATTACCCATGGATACCCGAAACCCGAACGGGTATGGGCACGGTTTGAATTTTTTACCCGTTTCTTATATAGGTATGAGTATGGGTAAAACCCGAACTACTTTGGGTAGAGTAATGAATATGCACTATCCGTCCCCAACCTGATCCATTGTCATCCCTAGTCCCGACTTGATTTTAGGTACCCTAAAGAACACCAAGTAGGTATAAAACTTTGGGTTAATATATTCGTATGGCCTGAACTTTGACCAATATAAACATCCTGGCCAATCTTTTCGATCTATAACATCCTGGCCCGAACTATACACCAAAATAAACAATTTGGCCAAACCCGATGTTTGACCGTTAACTTGGACGGTCAAACGCGTTGACTAACGGTCAACGTGCCACGTCACTGCCAAGTCAGAAGATCTGATAAATATTTAATTTTTTCGTTTTTTATTTTTGGTTTAACTAAGGTATTAGATGATTTTTTTTAATTTATAATAATTTAAAATTAGGGAATGTGTGGAAATTGTGAATTGTTTTAAATATTTTATGCTGACTTGGCAGTTACATGACGCGTTGACTAACGGTCAACGCGCTTGACCGTCCAAGTTAACGGTCAAAAGTCGGATCTGGCCAAATTGTTTATTTTTGTGTATATTTCGGGCCAGGATGTTATAGATCGAAAAGATTGGCCAAGATGTTTATTTTGGTCAAAGTTCAGGCCATACGAAAATATTAACTCTAAAACTTTCGTTAAAAAAACAAAACAAAAACAAAAAAGTCCACTTTCCGCTTCTAATTCAAAACGTTGTCGTTGCTACTCAACATCTTTCCTATCCATTCTCCTCGCAAGTTCGGATCAAGCACGGCTCCCCTGCAACTTAAAAAAGCAACACAAAGCAAGAACACAAGCACAACAATTTGCAGAAACAAATGAGCAGAACCCAAACACACCAGACCAATTTTATGTGGTATCGAGTACTGAGAGAGAGGATCTTAAGACTAGTCCCTGATTTGAAAATCATAATGTGTGATCTTGAACGTTTCACTATAAGGATATTGACGATTATGCATGTCGTTGCAGTGCTGTCAGGAACGAAGATTTTTCTTGAGTCTCAACTCTTGAACTTCAAGTAATGTTGAACTCTGCGTCAAAAAAGTATCGTCGAGCTTCATTTCAACAAACTTCTTCTGTCCGTTGCTCACAGACGAGTCTGTGAATTGGCAAGCTGCTCCCAACAGTTTGCACCCTAGCCTGATTGTCCATTCATCCACACCATAAATCGGAGGAAGAGGAGATGCCTTGAGTAGCTAACAACCCCTTCAGCTACTTGAGCCACTCCTCCCTTCTTCCTCCCAACATCTCTCTCTAGCAAAAAGTAGCAGATTACAAGTGTAGGATCGGAACAGTATCAACTATCGAGTGAAACTATAGTTGTAATATAAACACCCAATTAAGATTACCACAATCCATAACGCAATGATGACAATTTGGTTGAGCCTAGACCTGTTTTAGCAATACTCTAATACTCTGCTAGTTTAATTTTGAACAGCTATTCAACAACAATTACATGTAAATATACTTGGACTAAAGTATCAAATATCGTGGATATAAGAGGGTGTAACATATTCAGTATTATAAAACTCTATTAGAGCTTCTCAAACGCTGTCCCTCCTACAAGTTAACACCATCAGTCTCAATTCTGTGTGGTACGACACTCGTACAACTTGCACCTCAGGTACTCGCACTTGCCAGCTACTGCATTCTCATGTCTCTTCACACACTGCACCAAAGCACAACCGAACAAGGCACACAATAAGAAGAAGGAAAAAAAACTCTAGTTTGTTGTTGCCTACAATGCTGAATCAACAATTCAAACACTTTAGAGACTATAACCAACAATAAATCACATCCTACCTTGTTAAAAACCTTCTGCCAAGCAGCACAAGGAATCTTCGTGCCCGGTTCACCGACTGGAAGCACAGGTTCAGGGAGGATGGTCATCTCTAGTTATGTTAAGAAGAAGATCAAGGTATTCATCAGAGAAATTCTAACATAGCAAGCAATTGATAAAGCAGGTATTGATTTCGAATTTCATACCATCAGCAAAGCCGTCAAACAGACTGTTGAGAAGCTTGCGACCCCAACGACCACTGTCAGAACCCTCAAAGGCCCAAGGCTGAAAAGAAAAAAACAAAGAGCAGCAACCACAGAGAACCCAACGACCACTGTCAGAACCCTCAACGACCACTGTTAGAAAGATTTAACCAGGACCTGCATTGGATCTGTTTGCAAAAGGGTTGTGCATTTTATCCAAAGCAAAGAAAGTAACACAACGGGAATTCGATACGACGTCAAAGAAGCCAATGCTATTTTGGAGTTCAGATAGTGGATTTTCACTCGAATAACTACAAATCAGGGGCCACATATCTATTGAAGCATCAGGACATTCAAAATGCAGATTAGGCTGATGCTATCTCTACTGAAATTACCATTAGGAATTGAATGAATGATCACAGAAGTTTCCCCTCAGAAAAAGAATAAAGAAAAGCATATTGGGAGTTTAGCCACCAATAGAGAGATTACCTCAATTCTTTCCTTGATATAGTGGTGAGAATAATAGTAGTCAGGGTTAATGCCTTGAGCGCTGAACAACAGAGTATCATCAGCACGACGCAGCACACCAGCAGAAGCAGACGTAACGAGATAATGGAGGGTTGAAATATCTACAAGTAAACAAGAGAGGTTGGGAATCAAATCATTGACTTCTTCTTAAATTTCCACATTCAACAACTATCGTATTCGTAGCTTATCCCAGAGCTACTTATCAATCTATCTAAGAATTTCCACATTCAACAACTAATGTATTCGTAGCTAATCCCATAGCTACTTATCCATCTATCCAAGCTTAGAAGATTCTATGCATGTTTAATGGGAGAAAAAAAATAAAACTACCTTGGGAATCGCCGGTGAAACCTGCGACGCCGGGACTCGGCGGGAAGTAACCCTTGGAACACCGCTGAGTCCAATGGCTGTAGACCGATCCCCAGCCGCCGGCTCCCAGTTCCCTCCTCGGAGCTTTCGAACCACGACTCTTAAGCAGAACGCAGGCCGCCATTTTTTCTTTCGCGGAATCGCGATCACCAGCCCGACGAAATTCAGCTTTTGCTATTTTCCGGCAACATAACCCTAAAACTAAAACGACTGGAGACCGATGGTTTCCGCCTCAGTCGTGGGTTGGGTAACGTTTGGGCCTCCGCGAAATGTATCCATATCTAGTGAGACGGAGCGTGTACAAGGCCAGACAAGAAACAGAATTCTAAGCCCGTTGGCAACAATATTGGGCGTAGCCCATAAGCTCTGTTGTTATAAGGCTCAAATTAAAATGTATGTCGGCCCCAAATTGATAGGGCTTTTAGCAGTGTCCATGAAACCGTACCGTATCGGCGGTTGAACCACGAAATACCATTATTGGAGGCTAAACTGATAGGCGATATTCACCGGTATAACGATTGAACTACGGTTAAACCACAGTTTTATCAAAATACCCTATCGCTGACTTTCCCGTACTGTTTTATTGACCATGTTTTAGCTATGAAAATAATTGAACTCATTATTTCAGTACAAAATACTACATTTAGCATCATTCTTCAACTATTTTAATGTTCTAAATTCCCTAATTTTGGTTTATAACTCATTTTTCTTAATTTATAAATTCTTGTATGTGACTTTAAATATCAGTTGGGATTTCTCGACCAATACAACCAATGTCTAGACAAATCTTGATTCTGAAATGCAAGTTTCTAATAGACTCAACTATTAAATAACCACTTCTCACCCGCATAGACTAATGCCTCCATATATTTTCTTGCCCTGTTCTCAGGAAATACGTGCACTCAGGAAATACGTGCAGCGGAAGATCCTGATTCCGCCTTAGGGGGAAGCATCCGCGCGAGACCCTTTAAATTTGAAGCAACATGGTTTTTTTGTCAAAAGATATCATGTATTGATCGAAAAAACAGACAGTTACATCCTGGAAACCAACCAGGTCTGAAAATCAAAGAAGCGACTCATAGTCGGATACAAAGAGATGGCTTTCCTAGCTACCAAATGAGCTACCCTATTGTTCTCCCGACCTACAAAACGCACACTAAAACCAGGCTGAGTCCGAAAATAATGAGCAACCTCTTCCAGAACAGCACCCAACCGGCTATCTCTTGTGTCGGCTTGATTAATTTTGTCAATAATCACCTTAGCATCGCCCTCAAATCGGACCTCCGACAAACCTTGCTCCACACACCAAATAATAGCATCCCTAAGCACAAGCAATTCCACCACTACAGGATCATCCACATGAGAAAACTGGACCCCTCTAGCCAGAAGGAGTGTCCTCGCTGGGTCAAAAAGAACCATCCCACCAGCCGAATGTGACCCACCCTTAGTAGCTCCGCCCCACATGCAAACCAATGGGAATCACCCACTTGTGCTGTAGATTGCAATATCGGGATTTGAGCCCTAGGCGCCTGATCCACTAGTAGACCCACTCATTCCTCATACTGTTGATGGAACTGTCGCATGAGAGCCGGGATCCCAAATTGTTTGCCTTCAAAGACTACCCAATTTCGAGATCGCCAGATCCTTCAATGGATGGCAACAACAGCCATAACCACTGACGGTTGATGGATCAAACCCAACAGACGTTTGAGAAACAAAGGAAAACTATGCCGAGGCAGACCCTCCCCCAAGTACTCCAGCCCAGAATAATCCCAGAGGGCCCGCGCAACCAGACAATAAAGGAACAGGTGTTCCATTGTCTCCGGGCCGTCCCAACAAACTGGACACCGAGGTAGCACCTGGACCTTTTCTCAATAAGCGCCTCCGTAGTCGGCAGAGCCCGATTATGAATTTGCCAAACAAAAACCTTCAACTTCGGAGGGATCTTCGCCTCCCAAACTCTAATCCAACTCGGCTTATCCATCCAGCTAACCGAGGACCGCCACCCACCCCTCCTCCTGTCCAAATCGACAGCCAAATGATAGGCCGACTTAACCGAGAAAACCACGTCGCCCGTGAAATGCCAGATAAGCTTATCAGGCACGTCCCAACGCGGGAGAGGAATAGCTTTAATAGCCTTACAGGTGGGCGGGTCAAACCATTGACTGAGCTTCTCATCAGACCACCTCCTTCCCCTCTCACAAAGAACCTCCGCCACCAAGGGATCACCCCCTCAACAAGACCCCGGATTATAGCTTGGGGGACCAAGTTGGTACCTAGGAATCCAGTTAGAATGAGGGAGGGAGACCGATTGGCCATTACCAACCTGCCATCTCAAACCCCTCTCCAATAACTGACTCCCATGCAGGATACTTTGTCACCCCCAAGAGGGATGAGACCGAGCAGTCGCAGTCAGAAAAGATCCTTGAGGGAAATACTTGCCTTTATAGACCTGGGCAATAAGTGATTGAGGTTCATTGAGAATACGCCAGCCTATCTTAGCCAACAGAGCTTGGTTGAAATGTTCGAACTGGCGAAATCCCATCCCCCCATCATGCTTACTCCTGCACATGTGACGGCAGGACACCCATCTAATTTTGGGAGCACCATCCTCTGCACCCCACCAAAAACGGGCCACATGCTTATCTAAAAGACGACAAAGAGCCAGGAGAAGACGGAAGCAGGACATAACATGAAGGGGAAGAGCCATTGCTATGGATTTAATCAATGAGGCTCTCAAAGCCTTGGCCCCCCAAACTTCAAACTGGAATTGGCAAGTTTTTGGCATTATAGCTCATCGCAAGAAGAGGTTACTTGTCAGGCTGCAAGGTATTCAACAGAAGATAGCTTCCAACTTACAACCAGGTTATTAAAGCTTCAAGCAAAGCCGGAAATGGAACTTGATTCCCTCCTTGCACAAGAAGAAATCATGTGGTTCCAATGGGCAAAAGAGAATTGGGTGAACCTTCGAGAACATAATTCTTCATACTTCCATCATCAAGCCACCAGACGTCGAAGAAGGAGCAAGATTCTGTGCATCAAAGGCAACTCAAGAAACTAGGTGGACAGATCAGAAAAGTTGGAGGAGTTATTGGTGGAATTCATCTCTTCCTTGTACACATAGTACAACCATCACTAGACCAGATGCCGAGAAACAGCTTTCCACGACTATCTAAGGAGGAAATTCTCTTCCTTCTTCGTCCTTATACAATTAATGATATTCATAAGTATATTTTTGGAATGAAACCCCTTCAGCTCCTGGGCCCTGATGGTTTTCAAGCCGTGTTTTACCAGAAGCTATGGGGCCTATTTGGGAGAAGTTTAACTCGAATGGTTGTTTCATTTTTTTTATACAGGTTCCATTCCTTCATAAATGTTGGAATCCACCTTAGTGTTGATCCCCAACATCAATCACCCAGAGACCCTGGCGCATCTTAGACCGATTTGTTTAAACAATGTAGGGCTAAATGCAATCACTAAAGCCATCGCCAACAGGTTAAAGCCAATCATTCACAACATTAATAAGGTAGGTGTGATCTTCCATAATAGGACATGTCTAATCATGATCATCACTGGAGATCTCCGTGACAACTTCCATAAGCTCCATAATGTCGTCATGTCTTTCTCCCTCCTCCTCCTCTCTAGAAGTAGCTAAAATCTAATAATGAGCAAGTCGTGCACAAGCTTGCTCAATAACCTCTCCTTTCTTCTCTATCGGCGAGATCACCTTCGTTTCATGGAGGACAACTAAGTCAAGAGGGTGGTGGGATTGGAATGCCAATTTGGAGCATGCTCTTTCACTATCCAACACAAACTTCTCTACAATTAGCTCCAATTGGATCTTCATCTATGGTTTTGGAGTGTAGCATGGCTTTGCATACCGTCTAATAAAGCCCGCCATGGGTAGCTTCAACTAAGATGCCCCTTGCAGGTTGTGGAGAGAGGTATTCTTGAATCTCGATAAGGAGGAGGTTCTTGAAATGCCTAAGGGTCTGGTTGTGTAATGTATAAGGGTGTTTGTTCTTGGAACTCGAAACTGTAGCCTTCTCCATACTAGATATCCCATGAAGTCTGGGGGTAACACCAGTCAGGTATTGGTTGATACCCCTACAAGTTGGGGAAGTCATCGAGATTCATGATTCAAACCTACACAACCAAAAAAAAACACTCAATGGCGCCAAAAAACTTGACTTGCTAAAAATACACTTCTTACAATGCAAACTTAAACAATGACAAGATTGAAATATAGTGGTACACATAATAAAATATTGATCCACAAGTATCTAGATTTACTATTACATAGTTTCATTTTATTATTTAGCAAATTAGATTCAGATAAACTAAGGGTTAATACCACTAGGAAACCCGAACTATTAACATTGTGCCATTTGTGTCCTAAAGTATTCGATATGACAATTATGTCCTAAACTATTTCTCCGTTAGAGTTGACCGGCGTTGACCGTTAGTTTTTAACAGAAAATCTAGTAAGCGCTGATGTGGAATCTGAAGTGGAATTTATAATATTAATTTATAATTATTTTTCATATAAAAAAAGAAAATTACAAAAATAAAAACATATATGATTTGTGGATTATTTTTTGGGACACAATTAATCGTTCTCTTCATCGATTAATCGTTCTCTTCTTCAATCCCAAGCTGGATTAACCCACCCCTTCAATCCCAACCCAGATCCTGAAACCCTTCACCCTCCCAACCCTAAAATTAATCCCCTTCCATCCGCTCCATAATCGCCGCCGTCGAGCACCTCGAAGTGAACATCGACCCCGCCGCTGTCGAGTGCTCTCGAATAGACTCGACAGGTCTCGATTTAAAAACATGCAAAACAATCCGAATAAGGATAAATTATTGTAAACCCCAAAGAAAAACCGTAATAATCCTTACCAGGAATAAGGATTCCCGACTATCTCCGTCGCCACCGACGAGGCCTGATGCAATCTTCCACCTCTCCCTCGTCAATAGCCAAAACAAAAGCCAGAAACTAGAGAGTAATCAAAACTCTAAAGCAACTAAAATCCCCACAAAATAAAACACCAACCTTTACCTGATTAGATACCCGCTCCTATTTTTGCCTCGTCGCCGCCTCTGTCCACCGCCGCGGTTTCCCCTCTTCTCCCATGAAAACCACTACTTCCATTCCACTTCTCGACCGATGCAACCTGAAATCGCTGCTCCCGTTGAAGCCTCGCCGCCGCTGCGGATCAAATGAAACCCAGGAAACCCAGATCCAATGAAACCAAGAAATGGCGGCATTGAAATC